ACACTCCACCTATTCTTCTCAAATATACATGGGATGTTTACCAAGCTAGATCACATTCTGGGCTACAGAACAAGTTTCAAAAAATTCAAAAGAATTTAAGTCATACAAAGTATCTTCTGCGATCACAATAGAATTCAATTAGAAATTAATATTGTAAAGAGAAGATGAAAACATCCATAGTCTTGGAAATTAAACAGCACACTTCTAAATAACCCATGAGTCAAAGAGAAAGTTTCAGGAAAATGTAAATTATAGTTTGAACAGAACAAAAATAAAAATACAGGCCTGGCGTGGTGGCTCACGCTTGTAATACCAGCACTTTGGGAGGCTGAGGTGGGCAGATCACCTGGGGTTGGAAGTTTGAGACCAGCCTGACCAACATGGAGAAACCCCATCTCTACTAAATATACAAAATTAGCCAGGCATGGTGGTGCAGGCCTATAATCCCAGCTACTTGGGAGGCTGAGACACGAGAATTGCTTGAACCCAGGAGGTGGATGTTGCAGAGAGCCAAGATTGCCCCATTGCACTCCAGCCTGGTCAACAAGAATAAAACTCCATCACCCAAAAACAAAGAAAATAAAAAACAACAAAAATATCAAAACTTATAGGAAGGAGGTGAATCAGTGCTTAGCATAACATTTATAATATTAAATGCTTAAATTAGAAAAATATCTCAAACTGATAAGTAGAGAAAAGACATAATTTAAGACTAGACCTCAATGAAACCCAAAAGAGAAAGCAATAGAGAAAATCAATGGAAAAATAAAACTGGTTCTTAAAAAATATCAGCAAATTGATTGACTTCCCGCAAGACTGACAAAGACAAAAAAAAAAAATACAAATTAGCAAGATCAGGAATAAAAGAGGAGAAATCATTACAAACCATATAGATATTAGAAGGGGGAAAATGTTTACTATACTATCCTATCACATTCTACAAATAACTCCAGGCTGGTAAACTAGATTACTTAGATAAAACAGTGATATTGCATTTTGGACTTGAAGATTCCATTCCTCCTTTGGAACCTGTATCCCAGATTGTTGGGTTAATCTGTCTTCCTCTATTCTCTTGTCACAGGCTTTGGGCAGAACCCACCTGCAGGTGCAGAATGTGGATGGCAGCTCATGTGGGCCAATCTGAGCATTGCTTTCACTTGGCTGTACTGATCGCTTTGAATGGAGAGAGGAAGTTGAATCAGGCACACAAAGCATTTTGCTGAGATTGCTGGCACTGTATAAACCCTGCACTGCCAGGGAGTAGTAGAAATCTTGAGAATCGATAATACAAGTAGTAGAAATCTTGTTCTCAATCGATTAGAGTACAAGGCAGACAAGAAAGATGGAAAAACCAACCTCTAATGACAGCTTGGAACATCTGGATCTAGTCGCAGACTTAGGTTATGTGAGACAATACTGTCATTATTTTTTCTCTTCACTTTCTCTTTTTTTTTAATTAAATCAGTGACTTGGATTTTCAGTTAATAGCAACCACCAGCCTTGAATGATGAGATCGTTTATGCTTTGTTAGGTTTTGTTGAATGTATAAGTTTCTCAATGTTGATATTAGAATCTATTATTTTCTACCTGTAGTGGTTAGATTGTACTAATAATGTGTCTTCCATAGTCTTACTTCTGCTACTATTTCTATGGATTAAAGGTTATACAACATTTTAAAAAAGTAGTATCCATTTTCCATTTTTGTTTAAAAACAGAACAAAGATATAAAAACAGATAATGGCATGAGTACTACAGATGAAATGCAATTAGAGATTCTTAAGTCTACTTGGTCTTTACAACTCTTTCCCTGTTCCCCACCCCTATGTGGCACCACAAGAAATCTTAAAGCCTGTAAAATCTGGAACATAAAACACTGTTCTGTCATTTATTATACAAACGGGGTCAATTTTGAGAATTAAAGAGGACAACACTCTTAATAAATTTAATCTGGGAAAAAGGCTTAAACAGGAGTTATCCCAGGCAAATTGGGACACATGGTCATCCTGGTTCTATACTACAAGAGCTGAAATGAGAGGAAAATATGGTTAATCCAAAGAAATGGATTCCCGCCCCATTTCTACCATCCACCAGCTGTGCATTCTTAAAAAGTTACTCAACCTCTCTGAGCTTTAGTTTTCTCATTAGTGTGCCAGAGAGAATAGTAATTGCTACCTCACTGGAGGTTGTTGCAGGGTCAAAGTTATGAAAGGTCATAGTTATGAAAGTGCTTTGTCAACTATAAGACACAATGTGACTAGTGGCTTTTATTGTATGAACTAACTGATGTAATTATGATGACCCTAACAATGTGGTTGTACTTAACTTTACACAATAGATGAATTCTCAGAAAAAAGTTGAGTACTGATGGTTTTGTAAATTACCTCTTACTTAAAAAGCTCACATTAAACAAAATTGAGAAATTCTTCTATAAAGTTCAGAATTATTTTGTAGAATAGAAAGTTACCCCAATGCTTATATCTTATATATCAGAATTTGCTTTTAAGCAAAACATATCCCTAATGTCTTCAAGGATCTGTCTCTCCAGCTAAATGCAGCGGATGAAGCATTTCATAAATATTAGGTTACCTGCCCAGGATGCAAGCTGGGGCTGGGGCTGGAGGAGGAGACCCTTTTCAGGGTCCAATATGGCCATGAAAAAAAAAAGATAACATAAATTCTTGCAAAGTGGGACCCTGTCGGTTTAATTTATTTCACATTTGCCCTGGAAGCACCAGGCTCCAGTGGGCTAATGAATACGAGATGCTGTTGCAGACGAGAGGCAACCTGTGCACGCTGCTTGCATGACTAGTGCCTGAATAGGCTTGCTCAGATGGTTCACTGTCAGGTTTCCAATGCCTTCAATGTGTCTGAAGCTTTGGTCTGGCCAGGTCTGCCTTGTCCTCCTGGGCGGACATTTAGGAAGTGCATCCTATCCCCATCAGCACAGTCATGTGCTGGTCTTCCTTTCTCCCTGCGTGTGCAGCCATCTGGGACAACTTAGCCATTGTCTGTTAGGGCCTTTGATGCTTGATTATACAGAAAGAGGAAAACATCAGCTACAAAAGAGCAATCCATTCTGTTTGGGACACCAGTACAGTCTTTTTTCCTCTCCTTTTCTCAGTACACATATTTTTGATCATCGTCATATAGGGAAGAATGTTGGTAATGGAATGTACTCTAGAATCCTCTCTCTTAAAAGGAATGAACCTTTCCATTTACCCTGTGCTCATAAAACCAGTTTTGCAAACATGATCATGCTGATAAAAGACTTATTCCAGTTCTCATGTCCTCTTTTTATTTACTGACTGCCAAAAGAATCTAAGATTTCAAAGCATAAATGCTGATAAAATAGTTTTTTCATTGCTTTGGCTCTGTATTTCCACAGAGCTTATTTGTTTATTGTTTTCAGTTGCAAAATTTTCATCTTCAACAATAGTTTAATTTAAAAACGTCTTTGCAACAATATACTGTAATAGACATTAGCAAATTTCCTGCAGAAATGTTGTATCCAATAGAATCAAATCTATACTGTACTGTTAAGTGTGTATGTTGGGTAGGGGGTGACTATGTTCCAAGGTCACATATACTTTGTAATATTATTTTGGTAGAAAAATAATAAATAAAATGGTGTACATCAAATAATGACAAGTCATTATCTCTGTGGGATAGAACCACAGAACATTTTTCTTTCTTTCCCTTCTTCCTTTTTGCTCTCTCTCCTCTCCTTCTGTTGGCTTATTTGCATTTTTGAATTATTTTATAATAAAATTGCATGACATTTTTAATAAAAACAACTCTATAAAATAAATTTAAAAACATAAAGGAAAATTTAATGTCTATGAACTAAATCTCCATCCAGAAATGGAGTGCTGCAGTAGGACCCAGTCAAGATGACGATGGCTGTGGGAAGCTAGAGTGACAGATGGCTCACCATGGCAAACAGCACATACACATTAGTGCTTTCTGTGGAAAAGAATTTCATATATATATATATATATATTTTATGATTTAGGAATTTCTACATTATTAAATCAGGATAGTCAGTGCAGCAGAGATACAGGTATCCAAAATCCCTTTACTCCTTCTTCCTTTAGTAATAGTTTCACTGAGTGTATACTGAGTATGGTCCCTTGCCCAAAGAAACCTTTGAAGTCGGGGTGGCCACATACTAAACTTATAGTCAGAGGTATGTGAATGGTGATGGTGGATATCACCTCTTAGTCATGCTCATATCTTTCCTTCTGTCCCTTGTACTCTGCACAGGGCAGTGGGTGCTGAAGCAGTCACATGAGACCAGGAGGTGCAATCTACTCACTAAGGACAGCAAAGCAAGGACGAAGGAAGTTGAGTTCTTGATGCTGTTGAGCCACCACATCAGTTCAGAATTGCCTAAGCCTGTGTATTTAAGCAAGTGATAAAGAAATTGTGTCTTAAGTCATCATTGGTAGGGTTATTTTTGTTATAACCATTTAATGTACATTCTAACTAATAATAGTATATTATATTAGTATAATTTATAATATATGATAGTATAATTTTATATAACATGTAGATAGACATACAAATATGTATGGATGGATCTACAGATAGATTGATGGATGAAGGGAAAGGTGGATGGATAGATGAATGAATGGATGAATGAATAGGTGGATGGATGGATGGATTAATAGGTGGATGATGAATGAATGGATGGATGGATAGGTGGATGAATGGATAGATGAATGATGAATGGATAGATGAGTGGATAGATAGATGGATGAATGGATAGGCGGATGGTGATATGGTTTGGCTGTGTCCCCACACAAATCTCGACTTGAATTGTATCTCCCAGAATTCCTACATGTGTGGGAGAGATCCAGGGGGAGGTAATTGAATCATGATGGCCAGTCTTTCCCATGCTATTCTCATGATAGTGAATAAGTCTTATGAGATCTGATGGTTTTATCAGGGATTTCCGCTTTCGCTGCTTCCTCATTTTTCTCTTGCTGTTGCCACTTTAGAAGTGCCTTTTGCATCCCACCATTATTCTGAGGCCTCCCCAGCCATGTGGAACTGTAAGTCCAATTAAAGCTCTTTTTGTTCCCACTTTCAGATATGTCTTTATCAGCAGTGTGAAAACGAACTAACACAGGTGGATAGAAGGGTGGAGGGATAGATGGATAGAATGGGTGGACTCCGTATTGTTGCCCTTCCTTTTCTTCACTCTGTTTCTCTACCCCAGGCAGGAAAAGTCCAACTTACTTCTCAGTCTAAGCAAGCACCAAGCACTGCTGGGCTCTTGCCACACCTGTAGTTCCTCAGTTTTCTGAAACATAGAGTGTGTGTTTCTAATCTGACAAATACTTGAAAAAACTCTGTTTTAAGTTATTCTAAACAGATATTACTTTTATTTCAGCAATTTGCCTTGGTAAAATTTGGAAATTGGAATGTAGATAACTGGTTATGTACAAAGTGACTGTATTTGGGGCCAAACCTGTATACCTGGTAGCTTGCATGAATTCCACAAGGATTACTTCTTGTGCAAGTCCCAGTGCACAGCACAGGGGAGAGCACTATGAACCCACAAAAACAAGGGAAAAGTCAGAGAGAGTGTATACTGAGTGTCCTGGGGGCAGGTAACCAGAGAGGAAGATGAGGCAGCATTTAGCTTTGATGGCTTGATAGGCCAAGGCATAGAGACAGAAAGAGTGCTGAGTAGTGAGGGCAGCTTGCCTGGCTGAGGGAAGAGTCCATGTGGGAAGTGGAAGGTAAAGTCCCTAGAAGGTTGAAGGCAGGTATTGAGCCACCTTGAATAGACATAGGATGCTCTGAACATTATTTCTTCTATACCTCAGGACTGTAGCTCTGTTAAACAGATTCCAAACCTCTTGTTTTCATGCAGATCACTTTTTGGAATTGTAATAGAGCATGAGGCTATGAAATTCCAGCTTCAGTGTTCTAAAATTCTCAAGACCATATACAGACTAAGCTCTGCATACATGGTGTCAAAACAGGCAGGTAAAACCACTTTATTGCTCACATAGCAAACTCCTCCCCAGCCAGAAAACAAAAATGATAAGCTGTTTTTCTATTTCTTTTCCTGCATAGCATGGTGGCTGGAGTTCTAGCTCTAAGATCCTCCTACTTAAGTGGTGGAATCCAAGTAATTGATCCAGTATCATCTATCACCACCCTTCTTGTCCTTGTGGTCTGCCAGGTTGCTGAGGGAATGTCACATTATCCCAAAGACTGTGGTCCCAGACCTGCTGTGCAGAGGCTCCAAAACCATGATCTAACTGGGCTTGCACCCAGTTGCCAAAAGGGCTTTATCTCCCTCACTACAGAATGTGCTGTGTTGTTTTTCTTCCTTCCTTCTGACCCACAAAGAAAGCTTCTTTCTGATCATTAAATGTCTCTGCTAAGTTACACCTTTTAGGGCATTTTGGTTTTGCTGGGTGAGGGAGCAGGGGTAGTTTTCTCCTCTTCTCTCTTTCCATGTAATAGCAAGGGCAGTTCTTCAATGTCCTGAAGCCTCTGCTGACATTTGGACCCTAGGTCCGTTCTCCCCAGATTGAGCAACAAATGCGACCTGTGTTTTGTAGGGTTTCACCATGCAGATGCTGTCCTAACCTTGCTTACACAAAACCACATTTTTATTTGTGTAATTTTTAATTGATTGCCTCAGTAGGCATGAGATCATTTGTTGGGGTGTGTCGGGAGGGCTTGTTATGCAAGATAGTGGGGTTCCATTCCTAAGGTTTCTGGTTCAGAACGTCTGGGGTGGAGCCTGAGAATCTGCATTTCTAACAAGTTCCTGAGTGAACTGCAGAACTATGTTTTAGGAACAACTGTTCTAGAGCACCCTTGCCTTAATAATGCTGCAGAGACTTCCTGGGTCCGTCCTGGTATCTTGTAGCTCCTCTTCTGCTTTGCTGATTTTTGAACAGCATGTGGAGAAAAGATGTCCCCTCCAGGGTGTGGTGAGGAGTGAGAACAACGTGGGCACGTCTGAGCTGCAGTGGGCATGGATGATTCAGCAAGGACTGACTGCACAACAGTGTCCCCTCTTGAGAGCATCCCACCAGGCCAGGCAGCAGAGCTATTAAATAAAAATCCGTAGGAAATATTGACATTGGATCCCTCCCGAATGTTTGTTCTACAAATGTGGAATGTTTGTCTCATCCAGAAACCTCAAAATTACTTTGCCATTAACACCTGCGTGAGTGGCAGGGCTTGCATCATTAAGATTGCCGGAGGAAAACGCTGCCTCGCCTTGGCCGAAGAAAGCATTAAAAATTAATGAGGTATCAGTACTCACAGTTTGATAAACTACAAAACACCTCCTTATGCCTCCACTTTCTCATTGCCTAAACCTCTGATCCCTCTGTATAAGATATTTTAGAAGACCAAATGTCAACCGTAGAGCTATGAATGCCAACAGAAAAATGAAAACAAGAAAAAAAGTTTGCATTTTTTGCAGAGGGTTGTGAAAATACTATGATATATTTTATATTTGAAGGGTCATGTGACTTAGACCACACATGGGTGTTTGCACTTACTGCTTCTACCAGGTGAATCAGATGGGATGGCAAGAATAATCCGTTGGAGTATTTTAGCAACAGTGAGGTTTATAGACAAATGACCTGGGAGCTGCTCTCAGCTGTTTACTCCTCTGGCTCTGAGACGCCTTCAGGGAAGTTCTGTGTTGTGACATTGACAGCTTGCCTCTAGAATGCTGTAACATACCATCTGGAAGCCTTGTAGGTCTGAAAATATTTATGTGTGCCCGTTCAGCATTAGACTGTATGTGGCCGTTCTCTCTGTCATAAGTGAGTATATGCAAAAATCCCTCAGATGTCTTTGTTCTGCTCTGTGGTCTGGGCTGGGACAATTTTGATGAGCTGGCAGCCTAGGACCAGCAATCTTTTCTTGATTCTTCTTTATAGCTGAAAGCTCTTTATGGGTGCTCTCCAGGGGTATCTTTTCAGTGTTCTTGGTAAGTTGGTAAGTGTTACAATAATATCTCTTTTGAATAATGAACTGTTATGTATTTATGTGGCTGCTATGAAGATGGAAACTAATTATTGTTCTCAGTTCTTTTCAAATATGAACGCATTTACTCCTCAAGCCAACCCAATGAAGTCAGTGCCATTTTTGTCACCATTTTACAGATGAGAAAACTGAGACACTGTCTGTAACTTGCCCAAGGTCACAGAGCTGGTAAGTGCTGTACCCAAGGCTAGAACCTATGCTCTTAACTACTACGTGAAACTACTGATTGCTTTGCTGATGAGCTTTGACTGATAGAAGCCACTTGCTTCTGCTCAGAAGCTTGTTACTGAACCCATTGGGGTCAGAAGCACATGTGTTTCTGAACAGAAAGTTAAAGTGAGTGGGCTTATCTTAAAAGCGTCTTGCTTGTTTTCGTTGCTTTGGAATCAAGTACAAATGCTTTAGTAATGCCTTCTAGGACTTTTCTCAACGTTTCCGAGGTTCTCCCCTAAGCCTCCCTCTGTAGCCACGCAAGCCTGCCCAAAGCACACTGGGAACATGATGCCGTACACTCTTGCTCATAGGTCTCTATCTACTTGCACACCTTTGCTGGGGTGAATTGTGTTCTACGGCTTCCCAATTTGAGTGTCGGATTTGGTTACAGATACATTGAGATAATGTCCCTGAATCCTGAGCAACTGGGCATGTTCTGGGGCTGCAGGAGCCCTTGTTCTTGTCACTTCCAGCCATATAAATATACTTTTTTCTTTGCCGAGGAACTGATCTGCTGAACTGCTGCATCTGAGCTCTGTTGAAGAAGGTCAGCAAACAGAAGAGAGAGATGAGCGTTTCTTCCTCCACTCCCTCCCTGCCTTGGGGTCATCATTCCAGGAGCAGCTGCACCCTTCCCTTCTGGTGGGCATTTCCCTGCAGCCCTCTTCCTTAGCTCCTAGGATCTCCTAGGGCAGTAATAGGTCCGAACTGCTGTTAGCCTTTGGGAACCTCCCAGTGCTTGTTGGTCACTGTGCCCACATTCTGTCTGAGGCCCGCTGGTCAGCATTTCTACATTTGAACCATATGGGGCAATTCTATCTCCTTCTGAGACCCTGACCCATGAAACTCCTTCCTCCCAAACTATGTCTGAGTTTGTCCCCCAACTCACAAATGGCCACTAGCAGATTTTCCTACTGAGCTCACACAGCACAGGTCCCCACTTACTGGAACACAAGATAACCTTTAAATCATTTGAATCACAATGCAACTTAAGGGCCCATCAAATTCTTGGGAAGGGGCAATGTTGGATTCCTTCTCCTCTGCTTTCCCACCATACTCCCTTTGTAGCAGGTCACAGCCATGTGTAAACTATAGTGCAGATTATCCCTTTATCCAGAAGACAATCCAAGGGCCTGGGTCTTGTTTTACTTCCCTTAATATCCTCATGATTATTGATGCATTTGTCTTCCCTGGTAATCTATCAGCTCCGCTAGAGGAGAAGGGGTATTTCTAGAACTAGCTCAAAATAAGTACTTCTTAAATGAATGAATGAATGAATGAACAAATGAATGAAAGGCAGCTGGCACAAGTTAGGGTCCATTGTGTAGTCACAGAAGAAACAAGCATAAGTGGTTTCCACCCAGATCCTCAAAAACTTTAAAATGGAGCAGTCCTCCTTTTATGGGCCCTGCAGCAATTCAGAGGCCTGGTTCACTCTGATATACTTCCCTTATTGCCAGATGACGGTGTGGAGGACAATGAGGCATTGAGTGCCTTGCCTCAGCTGGGCAGGCTGCTGAGCAGAGAAGTCAGCGTTCCCGACATCCCGCCCAGCACTCTCTTGACTAAACCACATGGGCTGTTTTTCTTTGCTCTTGCTTGGACCACTGGGCTCTTCTTGACTCAGACATCACTGATCCCTTTCCCAGGATACACACCCACCTGCTCCCAGGAGCCAAGTTTTGTGAGGCATGTGGCTTTTTTTGGAATGCTCAGTCACCTTGAAGCTTCTGCCTCCTCCCAGGACAGGAGGATTTGCGTAGATGAATTATCACTATGAGAGACCAGTGTGTGTCCCCCAGTCTCCAGTGCAGTTCAGACACAATGGATTTTCTGCAACTCACTTTTGTCG